TTGGGGTACTCCACTAGTGACGTTACCCCAATCGGATTTAGTGCCGTTAACGCTTACTCGCTGTTTCCTGTTCTGTAACCACGTCCTAATCCATTTTAGAATATCTCCTCCAATTCCACGAGCCTTGACTTTTCGTATTAATCTTTCGTGTGGGAATATCATCATTTTTAATGCACAAACACCTATCCACACATCATTTTACACACGCACGCACGCACACACACACACACACAGAGAGAAAGAGAGAGAGAGAGAGAGAGAGAGATTAATAAAATGATAATATTTGACTCCGTAACACACTCGGTACCAGTTAACATGTTGTGTATCACAGTTCCGCAATCAAGGTGACAAAATCCCTGTGTCACTTCTCTTCATACAAGAATGCCCCTAGAAATGGGTACATAGTATTATTGATCGTAACTATGAGCATTAATGTAATTCTTATCGTCTCCAGCACTTACCACAACCGCCACACCACAACACTGCCATACCAATACTGAGTGATGCACAACTTTTATACCCTACTAAGCCGTAAGAACTTTTTCCTCACTATCAGGATTCACTACCAATGCAAGCGCCACCCTCCGTCTCCCACATTCTGGTGGGCTTGGGACAATGGTTATTGCATTTATTTATATGTGACAGGCGGCGGGCGGCAACGGTTATCGTGGGCGGTGAGCGTCCCATTTATTACAGATAACTCCGCCAGGACATTATCACTTGACTGCAATTTGTTAAATAAAAGAGAAGTATGTCAAGCTGATTAATAGAGATAGCAAGAGTTGCACAAGTTATCGGTTAAGTCCACTCTCCCGTTTACTGTACTTCATTAATATTTGCCTTTGTTTGTTAACATACTTTATTGTGTGCCGCGTGCGTGCACACAGACAAATCCCCTTTTATGCACAGACACTGATACACAATTACGTTAAACACACACACATACACTACTATTACTACTCCTACTTTGCTGTCACTCTGAATCGAGTATGACGATCATCCATCTATGATACAATGATATGAGCTATTGAGGATCTCACCTAGGTTTGTGAGTTTTGAGGTGACTAAAGAGGCCGATAAGGGCCCTCCAAGATGTTAAATGAAAATCAGTTCGCTGAAAATAAAGGAATATACACAAGCACCTATATTAAAACATATATATAAAAATAGATTCATTTTTAGAATACATAGGGTCTAAAATTGCAAGGCAGAAGCAGGCAGCGCAGGCATTTCTCTCTCTCCAGATTCTATTGTTTAGTGTTATTGGGAGGTGAGTGTGAAAATAATAATATGGGGATTATGGGTGTGGTTCCCTGTTGGTGACACTAGTTAGTTTTGCTAGTGATGATTGTATATGGTGGGAAAATAGAGTATGTTTACCCTTGTTTTTGTTTTCCTTTGAGGGCGAATGGCAATTGTGCATTTTAGATAAGAGTGTCATCAATGAATTAAAAAAAATTAATATAAAAATATATATTTGTACGAATGTAAATTATTAATAATTGAAAGATAGTTTATTACGATAAATATTTCTTTGTAATATTGGAGAGCAATATAATCAGCAATGAGGTAGTTCTAATAATTAAGCATGTTTGCAATGACCCGTCCTTCAGATTCGTCCAGTGTTTGTCAAATGTTTCACGTTGTTCGGTGTGTATCTGAGATTTGAAGAGGTTGAGGAAAAGGGCAAGGTTTTCTTCCTGCGTTGCTTCTTTGGCAAGACGAACAACAGTGTCATCGGAAGCATTTCTTATGTGTGCTGAGATCCAGAACAACTTTACATGGATGTTATCAAATTCCTCTACCTAGGCGATGGCTGCGATGAAGTGTTGGGCAGCAAGGGAAGAAGGAGGGTTGGATTTGAGCATCGCTAGCGTGGAAGTATTACAGCTGATGATTAAGAGGTTCCATTGTTCAGTGTGGGCGACGGTAACGCCCTAATGGACACCCACGGGAATGGCTATGCTTTCAGTGTCAGTGGAGGAGGCCCAGTCATGGACCCTAATCTTCCTGTGGGCCTGGCGCTCAGAGACCCACACAGCTGCTCCAGCCCTGCCTAGCGTATCAGCAGACTCTTCACGGTAGACAAGAAGAGGATGGTGGGAGGTCGTGAGGGAGGAGACGGCATCGTCGATCTGAACTAAGCAGATAAGTTTGAGTATGTAGCTCACTTGGGTGGATTTTCGACCAAGGTGGGTGTGGACGAGAGCATCCACAGTAGGGAGTATCCAGCTAGAATTAGTGATTGGTTTTAAAGATACGGCACCTAGTCAGGGTACATCAGGCTAATGACGTCATAACCCATTTCACTAAGTCGTAAATTTTATGATTAAAATATCAAGGCAATATAAAAACTAATAGATTCAAATATTAACCGGACAACATAATGAAGGGATTTTTTTTCGAACAAATAAGCGATTGTGGCAAATGTTATCAAATAAAGGAAATTATAATTTTTAAATTAAGTTCATGTGCATGTTATCGAGAACATTGAAAAAACACTGAACTATCTGACTCCCAGCACACATAGCACACTCCTGCGCCTGCCATCACACTCCGGCTAAATAAACAGTATTTACAGCAAGTAGCTCTGTGAATCATTATTTAATGGGAATATAGAAGGTAGGAAATCTCACTGAAGACAATTTCCTATCAGGAATCCTAGAGATATTAGTTCCACGAATACAGTTATTAACTAGGTTGAAATAAAAAATGAATCCGGTGATTCCAAGTCTTGTGAGACAGAGAAGGATTTAATGCACGAGAAATACAGTTGATGAGATAACTGTGGTTTATCCAGTCAAATTGTAGGTAACGAAGACAGTGTCTTAACATGTCAACGTTGTAATAATAACTTTCACAAAGGGGCTGAAATTTGACTGAAGATCTAACTAAAACACACAAATGAAGCACTGGAGATTACCAAGAAAGTGCTGTTTCTTGGTAATAAATGTATGAAGCAAGTTAAGGACTTGTAGAGGATCATGAGGCAGAGATGGAAAAAATAGATAAGGGACAAGATACAGTAAACTCAACCAACATCTCAGACTGCAACGATCAATATATAAAGTCTCCAAGAATATGCAGGACTTCATGGCTCAGGCAGATACATAATGGAGCATCAATGCATTACAAAATTTCCATGAGGAGTTGAGAGGAAGGAGGGAGAAAATTAGTTAAATTTGTAGATAATTTACACATCATAAATGAAGAAGGACTACACGAAGGCAAAGTACAGTTAGTGAGTATCACCATCCCTAAGCCCGAACACAGGAGGAATATTTTGAGGACGGCATGGAACCTCAAACAATTAGCAGAATACAGCAATGTCTACATCATCCGTGACCTGACAGTTCTGCAACAAAAAGATGACAAGGAATTTAGGGACAAACACAAAGAGTTACGCAGCGAGCCACGATACGAGAATTGTCAAATAAAGATCAGAAAAGGTCAAGTAGTCAAGGTTCAGGAAGATGATGAGTTCAAAGGAATGTTCCAATCCTCAGACAATAAGGTTAAGAAGCGACCTACTTGTAAATAAAAAATGCATACTATAACGCTAAGTTTTACTATTAACAAAGACAGACTGGCCATTGTGCCTTTGTGCCATGGATCAAAGCCCCACAGGCGATCATTATGCCTCCCCTCTTTCCTCCTCTCATAAAATAAAAGATATTCATATACCACCAAATACTATTGGCCCTCACAATCAGAAATACCAACCAAACCGAAACTGCGGTACGTTATGTTCATTTCCAAACACCGTATCCAGGTGGGCAGATTTGTGTGTGTGTGTGTACAGTCACCTGCATGTACCTGGTACAGTACCTGGCGCGATTTGTGAGGTGTGGTAACTCCCGGAATGGCCCTAAGGAACCTTGCAATAGTAGCCAGACTAAGGATGCTAAATAAGCAGTCCACAGAGCTGCCACGTCTTACAAATCGCAACAGCCAGGGCACTTTGTTTTGGGATTTGCACTTCATCAGAATCTAGCCAGTCTAACCTATGTTATGCACTGTGGGTAAATTTGGGGCATGTACAGTCAACAAAATTTATGCACCCTTGCGATGTTATACAATATGACACACCTGACCAAGAATTCCGAATAACACTCATTTGCTAGGATGATTCCTGTCACTGTTATCTCTCTGTATTAAATATATGTGGTATACAGAATACATAGATTGGTTACACAATGCATCGCATAATCAAAAGTATCAACCTTACGAAATGGACATGGCCTCAGTCAATGATCGTTGTGAACGCCGTCAGACCCAGGGTACGGATTTTTTTTTTTTACGCCAGTCTTAGTGGTTTTGTCGTTAATGAGTTCACACTCAGTGCTGTTGCACCATTTACTGGAGAAGTTTCCTATAGTTCACAACTCTTTAACTCCATGACAGTCTGTCCTGTCCGTTTTCTGTAGTTGTAATATCTTTGACTTGAGGCTCAGAGCCCGAGTTGGGTGGGCATCCTCTTGTTCCAAATATGAACACCTGATTGAGTAATGTCCTCCGAAGTTAGCAACTTGAAGGTACAAATTGTATTTACTGTATTGACACAGTTGGATGTGAGACTGTGTATAGTGCAGCTGTTATGTATGTTATACCAATAAGCTATTTTTTTAAATAAAATTAGCAAGAAGAATGGTTTATATATACTATACTGGTACACTTACACCAATGTTCCCATATTTACCGAAAAAGCATGTTCACTGTTCACTAGTTATGGGTAAACCATGTTCAATTTTCTCTGAATTATAGATATATGATGATAACTGTTCTGTGAGTTATAGACACACCATATTCATTATTCTCTAAGTTATAGAAACCAATATTCTCTCCAACGTCATACCAACTTATATCATGAATGTGTTCTTCGGTCTCATGGGGAAATATGTTAGTGTATACACATTTGTGTTGTTCATTTGGTTACGCATATAAAACTCTGTACATTCAGTTACACGCATACAACTCTGAAGAGGAATAAAAAAACAATGTTTGCCAATGTGTTTTACTAGGCCAAAATGTATATGACCGATTTATAGGCAAAACCTGATAAAATTTAACCAAAACTGTGGTGAAGCCAGCAGAAATCCTCAGATCATTGCTTTCTTATAGTAGCAGTATAATGTACAACAAGCAGCCCTTTGTTGTTATTGCTACTGTTGCAAATATTTTTTCAACAACAGTTAATGTTGATGTTTTTCTATGATACTGTTGTCGCTGTTGTTGTCTTCTTTTTATTACAATTGTTCTTGCTGCTTAAACTGAAATTGTTGGTAACTGATAATATATAAAAAAGAATGACTTCTGATGTAACTGTTTCTGTTACAGCAATTGTTGTTGTTGCCTTTGTTGTTGATGCTGTTGCAGTTGTTAAATGTGATACTACGATGATTTTTCTGCTGCTGTTGTGGATTTTGCTGTGGTCTATCTTCCTTGTATTGTTGTTAAGAGCTCGTGTTACTAGTGTTAAAAGGTGGTGATAGTGGTGCTGTTGCTATATTGTCTGTCTTAATTTGCTCTGAACAAACAAGAAAAACAGTGAGGTGTAAATTTTAGTTGTTTTATGACTGAAAGAATTAAAGATGTGGATTTTGAATATAACTAAATGTGCAAGAACAAAAAGTAAAGACAAAGTGGACGAAGAAGTAGGAAGTAAGTGTTATCTAAACACCGAGGGAGGGGGTGAAGGAGAGGGTGGTGAGACGAAAGAGGAATTTGCAGAAGACGTCGTTAAGAAAGTATAAATCAGTTTTCATTTGAATTCCCTAAAGAATTCATCAGGATGAGTCGTCAGGGGATATCCTAAGTTAGTTTTCACTAACGCAAGCATCAATTTCCGTTATCTGTGGGAAGGAGAGAACAAAGGGTGGTGAGAAATATTAGAAATTTTAAGATATTGTACAAGCTGCACCTTGAAACAGCATGTTAAAGATATGCTCAACAAAAATATCGCTTGAACACAATCAAGTTTTATATATTTAAAATACATCGTTTTTTTCCTTTCTTACTATATTTGTCTCTTGTCAATTCATTAATTATGCAAGAACACACAAGTACATACTAATACATAGAAAGAGTGACACATACACACACACACACACACACACACACACACACACACATCAAAGAAATAAAAACGCCCTCACAGAAATACATGGGAATGCATATCTGTATTCCCAAATACACACATATTTTGGACACTAATATATACATACACACTGCACACGAGTGCACAGAAACATACACACAACTAGAAACACATGAAAAACTTACTAAATCATATTCTTCATCGGCGCACTCTATTATTGCACGTATATTCTCGCACGATATACCTGGTCCACGCAGGAAATCTGTGAAATCATCCAGGGTATCGGTCATAGAGATAAACACAGTATTAGTACCAACCTTTGGCAAGAAGTTGATAAGGAAATGTATAAAGTACTCCAGTGGGTCACTGCCCTTCTGTCTAACAGGCTAACAGTCTCGGTCAACACAGGTATAGGATATTGATACCTGTACGAACTTGCCCCTATTACTTGAAGTTACCTCTATACTGTACTGTAGTATACAGTATCGTTCAAGATTCTTCAAACACTGCTGGAGACAGCTGGCAACTCATGGCCGTTTGTTCACTATAGTACGTTGTAAAAATTATAAATAAATGTAAAAATGATCTGTGATTTACTACTTAGTTCCCTGTTGGTTAATTTAATATTTGGGCTTTGTTGTTTCGTATTATATTATACTACGAAACTATAGGAAAAAAAAACGTCCTTGAGTTGCCAGCTGTCTCCAGCAATGTTCGAAGAATCTTGAACGAGACTGTACATACTCCCCAAACATCAAGTTAAAGAGAATTAATAGAAGATTTTCATAACTTATAGTAATATTTCACTAAATACTTACTCACACACAGTAGATATCAACGTAAACTAGTGAACTGAGGAGGATCACCTCAGGAATCAGTGCAATATAATAATTGCTACATCTTCATCTGTTTCTTATCGTTATTGAAATGATGATATTATTACACACCAATGTCATTATCACAGATACGAACATCAACATAAGTTAGAGAGTTAAATAAACCAAGTGAATCAGATGAGAGTAGTCAAAATGACAACTTTTTTATAAATATAAATTCTCTTAAGAAATTAGAAATCTGAATAATATAAATGATACCAACGAATGATATAACTCTGAATCACAACATTAATTTAGATTGAACAAAGAAAAGATGCTTTTAATGAGTGGGGCGAGCTTAAGGAGGAGGCAATTTCTTGTGCTGGTCGTTAACACCCTATAATGATAAAATGTACTGTGGTGGTCAGAGCCTCCTGCTGAAAAGCAAAGACTATGTATAATGTGTCAGGTTATTTTAAATATACACACAATTACAAAATATACGAACATTTAGAAGAATAATTCATTTATAGTGATTAATATATTTCCATTCAGGTGTTGTGGTAGCGGAGCATAAATCTTATGTTCTGGAAAATTTATCTTTTGTTTATGTTGAACTGAGGCAAGTGGTTGAAAGAATCAAGTAATGGAGGTAAATTAAATATAGTACTTGCATTCTCATAGGTTACGAAAAGGATTGAGATCATCAGAAAGTAATAATTTAGTATTATTCTCCTCGCAAAGAATATGAGGGCGCATTTGACCGACTCACTGTCGTATCAAGTTGGCGGCCAAAATAGTGACAATATTTCACTGCATTTACTGCCACTTCTTTCTTTCTCTCATCCTTTATTGTGGAGAAAATTAATACTACAAACTTTTGAAAACCTGGGAATGATAAAGACAAGAGACAAGTGCTTGAGGCGGGACATAAGTGCCAAATATCCTTAGGGACTCACAAACACCCTGGGAAGAGATATCAACACTGGGTGGAGGTATCAACACACTGGGTGGAGGGTATCAACACTGGCTGAAGATATCAACACAATGGGTGGAGATATCAACACACATGGTGGAGGTATCAACACACTGGGAGGAGGTATCAACACTGGGTGGAGTGTATCAACACTGGCAACACTGGGTGGAGATCAACACTGGCTGGAGATATCAACACAATGGGTGGAGATATCAACACACATGGTGGAGGTATCAACACACTGGGAGGAGGTATCAACACTGGGTGGAGTGTATCAACACTGGGTGGATGTATCAATAGTGTGTGAAGTGTATCAACACTAGGTGGAGTGTATCAACACTGGTGTGGAGATATCAACACAGGGTGGATGTATCAACAGTGCGTGGAGTGTATCAACACAGGGTGGATGTATCAACAGTGCGTGGAGTGTATCAACACTGGGTGGATGTATCAACAGTGCGTGGAGAGAGGGGTACTAACTTGGTATTAGACTTTCCATGATGTCCGGCACTTCTTCGGTGGTGCAGTTAAGGAGTACCTGGTAAAGATCGATGTCCGTCAGGGTCTCTAACGTACAGGCCACAATCGTCTCCACGTTTTCGAAACACTCTCTCTTCGTGAAATCCATTTTTTGGCACAGTTCTCCAACTGATATCAAAGATATAATTAATGAATATGAGGCAGGGTTTGATGGCTGCTTGGTGGAGAGTTCAAATTACAGTGAGGGAGTAAGACGGGGAAAGAAGGGCTTCAGTACAATGTGAGGGATTAACACGGTGTTCAGGACAATGTGAGAGGGTGAAATGATGGGGAAAATAGTAATAAGTTATATCCACACTAAATGTCAATGAAATCTTTATGATAAAATAAATTTGATTACCATTTATTAAAAGTCTAATGTACCGTTTGTTTAAATATTTGAACATTATTATTATACTAGTTAGGTTCCATACCATACACCACCTGACCCTCTCACTAGGTCTTCACCATACAGAATCACCTGCCCATCACACTAGGTCTTCACCATACAGCATCACCTGCCCATCACACTAGTTCTTCACCATACAGAATCACCTGACCCTCTCGCTAGTTCTGCACCATACAGAATCACCTGACCCTCTCACTAGTTCTGCACCATACAGCATCGCCTGACCCTCACACTAGTTTTTCACCATACAGTATCACCTGACCCTCTCACTAGTTCTGCACCATACAGAATCACCTGACCCTCACACTAGTTCTGCATCATACAGCATCACCTGACCCTCACACCAGTTCTTTACCATACACCATCACCTGACCCTCACACTAGTTCTTCACCATACAGCATCACCTGACCCTCACACTAGTTCTGCACCATACAGCATTACCTGACCCTCACACTAGCTCTCCACCATACAGCATCACCTGACCCTCACACTAGCTCTCCACCATACAGCATTACCTGACCCTCATACCAGTTCTTTACCATACACCATCACCTGACCCTCACACTAGTTCTTCACCATACAGCATCACCTGACCCTCACACCAGTTCTTCACCATACAGCATCACCTGACCCTCACACTAGTTCTTCACCATACAGCATCACCTGACCCTCACACTAGTTCTGCACCATACAGCATTACCTGACCCTCACACTAGTTCTGCACCATACAGCATTACCTGACCCTCACACTAGCTCTCCACCATACAGCATTACCTGACCTTCATACTTGTTAAGTTCTTTACAATACCAGAAAATGATATCGCAATAACTTTTTATTTTTCAGTCAGTTAGTGCTAACTTACTCGGGGAGCAGGGACGCTCTCTACGGCCACCAGGACGTCTGTTAATGTCACCACGGTCTCCACCCCTGCCACGAGAACCACCAGAGCCTCCACGAGAGCCATCACGGCCTCCACCCCCGCGACCAGAACCACCAGAGCCACGTTGAGGCTCAGCATGAGCGACCATCACCAGCAGCGCCATTGACAGGATCAGTAACGTCAACACCTTCATGACTGGCAACAAAAAGTATGAAGAGGAAAAAACACACCAGCTATAAAAATTATAATGGAACAATAGATAGGAAGGTTGGCATTTGTTCAAGTGGGCGATGATAATAATAAAAATATAAATAATAATAATAATGATAATAATTATGATAATAAAAATAATGATAATAATAATAATATTAATAATAATAATAATAATATTATTATTATTATTATTATTATTATTATTATTATTATTATTATTATTATTATTATTATTATTATTATTATTATTATTATTTGTAGCAGTAGTATTTTTATTAAAGAGAGAGAACATGGAAAAAACAGTGAATGAGTTGAAGCATTTCTTTGGAGAGAGAATTGTACGACATAGAGTAATTTACAAACTTTGTAATTTTGGGAAAATAAAAATGGCCTATGATATCTATAGTATTTCACTATCATCATTGTCGGGTTTATTTCTGAGGGGCAATTTATAACTTATGTCAACTCCACTATCATCTACATTCCATCAACTGCACTATCATCTAGACCACTGTACTACATCAACTACACTATCATCTACAAATCATCAACTACACCATCATTCACTGTTCTACATAATCATCTACGGGGATTCTGCACTATCACTTTTAGGCCGGTGAACGTTCCTTGACCGGCTGGTCGGTGTTAGGGAAGATAATGTTATCGTACTGTACGGGCTTCTCTCGGAGCTACAGACAGTGCTGATACATATACACACAGTAATGGGTGACACAAGATCTTTTTTTATTGTAAATGCTCCCTCCATTCGCAAGTTAAAATGGTGGAAAAGAGTTATCACAGGCCACTAAATTTGTTATTTCCATCCTTTGCCCCAAGCCATTTATTTGTTCACAAACTTAATCCGTAGTGGGTCTCAATTTTTTTATGTAAGTGGGGAGCATTGAATGGTCGAATGTGTGATGATGGCTCCACTTCAAAATGGGAAAGTAAATAAGTTAGTTATTCACCTAGTCACTCGTATAACAAGACGAAATATAAAATTAATACGATTGTAGGGATTTCCATTAATAAGCTATTATAAACATCAATGAAGTGATAAATGGATCTTGAAATCTCATGAAACAAGCACTTTTACTGAAAGGCTCGTGGGCCTCATAATAACAGTTCGGGCCGCATCAAACAAATGAGGAACTTAATGGAAATTTTCAAAAACTGTCTCCAGCTTGAGCTTAAGAAAAGTACTCGCGGAGACCAGCACACTTGTAAAGGGAGGAACTCGCCTTCAGACTCTGACTCTCCTTCTGAAGGCAGAGGTTATCTCAAAGGAGAGAGAGAGAGAGAGAGAGAGAGCTTACCTGTATAAGCAAAGCACACCTGGAGCAGGTTGGGACACGACTTAAGAGGAGGGTGGGAGATGTGTGGTTGTGGTGATGGCCAGGTCTGTATATATACTGTATACTTACGTCACTCAAAGTTCGTCATGCCTTGAAGGTTATTCTTCCGTGTGTGTTTTCGCCATGATTACAATGCAGTTGTATTTTGCATCCTATTTCTTTTTTTTGCACTAAACTTAGCTTTTGGCTCACAGACATTCATCTTTCAGTGAAATCTTACGAATTCGTGTTTAAGTATTTAGATATTCATTGTATTGAAATTGCTCTGCCATTGTTACTGAAATATCGTTTCTCTCGGAAAAACCTCAACACGTGTTGGGAATTTGAAGAAAATACTGAAACTTTTCAACTGATTCACATTTTATGGGTAGTCTATTAAACTCATTAAAAATGAGCACTTTTACCCTCATCTTAATAAACATTGAAGGAGGAAGGTCGACGGTTTGGTTGAAAAATAATGATTATTCTGGAAATATGGAAAATTCTACGCGGGTTGGTCAAGCATTCTGTGAAGTTTCAATATCGCAGGATAATTTTTAATCGTAAAAATAAACAAATCACCTACACCAGGCACCCTGCAGCACGTCCGCGTCCCCTGGTTAGTACCGCGCCCCGATGGTTAGTACCGCGTCCCCATGGTTAGTATTGTTATATTACAGTGCGTAAAAAAATCTCTTATTTTAAATTTTACTATATCATCTCGTATTCTCAGGGATATCTTGAATGGTTTTCTGTGTGTTAGCAGCAAAGAGATTTAATAAACTGCAGGTGCATGACGCTTTGTTGAATTTGAAAAGAAGCTCTTGATAAGGTAAACCACAATAAACCTATAGAGATCTTGGGAAAATAGGCATTAATGAAGGAGATATTAGAATTTTAAAGAATCTTTACTGGCAACAGGAGGCTGTAATGTTAGTAAATAATGAACTCACTAATAGGTTCAAAGTGAGACAGGGAGTAAAACAAAGCTGTGTTCTGTCTCCAACATTGTATAATATATATTAAAAATTATTAATTAGATAAATCATCAGTAAACAATGGAAGAATAAAAATTAACGGTCAATTAATATAAAATAAACGCTATGGAGATGATACTGCTCTTATTAGGAATAGTCAATAGAAGTTACAAAATCTGGCTAATAGATAAGCGTAAAAGGGTGAAGAATATGTATTAAGAGTTAATTCATATATTTCATGCCACCCCTATATATTATTTGATGTGTTTCATCCGGGGAGGAAGACAGGGGGATGTGCACTCGTACAAACAACCTTTGAGATCCACCTCACTGCACCTGTGAATCTGTGATCCTTGTCGGACAAAGATGACGCCATGTTTGGAACGTCAGAGGTTGACACTCAAGCATCCGGTGAAGTTAACCATGAAATGTGTGTACCGCATGAAGGAAATGTACAGAAACGTGATTTTGTTTCTTTCTTGGCTGTAGTGGCGAAGAATGAGAAATTAAGCTGATTAAGCTTAAAAAACAATGAACATTTTTTCTTAACCTTTTCTTTTTATCGCTAAAAATTAGTGGAAATGAATTTGTATGTGGTAAAAAAACAAAACATTTAGGACATCTTTGCCATCATTAGGTTGGGTTATGTATGAGCTATTCATTTATACGTAATAAGATTTCCTACATGATCGTCTATGATTAATCAGAAGAAGCAATATTATTTTATCATTATCATAGTTGTTAGTCATTACTAAAGTTATTTACGTTACTATGGATAAAGTATTACAATTACTACAGTATTCTTAATATTATAAGTTATCATATTACTATTATTACGTGCATTATCAATATTATTATAGTTCTACTAGTGACAATCACAAGTTAAACTACAACCACAAACTGCCATACAGTAGTTAATAGTTTGGTTAATTACACAGGTTAACTAAGGAACGCCTCACATCTTGTCTGTAGTCTGTCTAAAATATTAAACCACACAGATGTGTGAAGTCTGTTGGCAGCTCAGGTTTAGTCGTGGTCTGGGATGTTCGTCCCAAGACAACACACACGTCCTCGAAAGCGTTGACTTTCGGATTAAGAAAATATTTTAAAATGTGTTCTATCGTTTTTTCTTATGTTTAATACAGATTTGTCCTATTTCCACTTGTTTCCCGTTTGATTGTTTGTTTGTTTTAGAAAAAAATATATCGGGATAAACAATATAAACAATTCTGGATACTTTTTGTCGCCAGTTGACGACCACCACCTTGAGACATCGATGACGTGAATATTTCGAGGGTTCGGCGACAGCTTTGATCTGTTTTCGATACATCAGACTCACTTATCCAAGAACAAGCCATTATGCGAACTAAAATATTATAATATTATGTAATACATTGACTTATACTTTATAATTAAAACTGATTAAAATAAAGATCTCTATAGCTACATGTGTGGAGAAACGAATGAATAAAACATAGTCCGTTAGAGCACTGTGACAAGGTTTGGACGGTTCGCTAAAGTCTTGAATCTTCCTCGTTTCCCTGTCTCAAATTTATGAAAATTTCACCAGAGGTCTCTAGCAAGACCAGACCTACGCTGCTACGCAGTGCTGTCTCTGCCTTGGTGGCGGTAAGGAAGTGCACGAATGCTTATAGATAAACAAATAGCCGGTGAAGAGAATGAAATTGACGAGGTTTGCAGAGTATCATCAAGTGTTCGTCAGTGTAGTAAAGTTTTGCAAGTGTCATGAAGTCTTTGCAAGTGTCACAAAGGGTTCATAAGTGTCATAAAGTAGATATAAGTGTCTCAAAGGGATGTTAAGCTTCAAAAGTGCTTTTAAGTTCCCCAAAGTTTTCAAAATTAATGTGAAGTAATAATTTGCATTATAACGTGTTCGTAAATAACGTATAGTGTTTATAAGTGTTGTAAAGTGGGTCAATTTATGATAGTAGACAAGTTCGCCTTTACCATAAAAAATACGTTTTTCCTGTGGTTCTTGTTGGGATTCGAACGAATCTGACCTTCGTTTCTGGTGCGAACCGCTCGTTTTCGAGTTGAGCCCCCTCCCCCATGACAGGGATGAGGGAAGGACATAACCTAACCTAACCTAACCAAAGTATAAAACCATGAGAAACCTGACCTCGGACCACCCTCAGTGTTGATCGCATTTCTTACCTTAGAGGCTGGCTTTGACGTCAGACTGTGACGCGTCTGACTCCTCTGGCTGTGAGAGTGGCCTGTACAGGTCTGCGGGTTCTCGGGGTAAGGGCGGGGAGCTGGAGGCGGTCAATTTAGGATAGTAGCCAGGTTTCGAGTTCTGTTATTTTATTGTTTGCAACCACATAACCTTAGGTTAAGTTAGGTTAGGTTAAGTCCTTCATCCCTACCATGGAGAATCGGGCATTAATCGAAACGGGCGGTTAGCACCAGAAACGAAGATTAGATTCGTTCGAATCACAACAAGAACCACAGGAAAAACGTATTTTTTATGGAAAAATCGAAACCTGTCTATTATCATAAATTGACCGTAAAGTGTTTGTGTTATGAAGCTTTACAAGTGATGTGATGTGTTTTTGTCTTGAAGACTTATAAGTGTAAGAAAATAGTTGTGGGCGCCAGAAACACTGGTATAAAGCGTCGTAAAATGGCTAAGGTGATACAGTGCCATAAGTGTCACGATATGTTACAGTGATTCATGTAATATATCCAACAGTTTTATAAAGTGCTTTTAAGTGCCAGTAGATCTGATAAAGTACCATTAAGCCTAATAAGTGTCGTATAATGTCGTAAGATGTGGTGCACATTGAAAAAGTCCTATGAAGTGTCAGAGGTGTCATGAAGTTCCCTATGGTTTCTAAGTGTCCTAAAGTGTCAGTGGTTTAAATATTTGTCCTTAAGTGTCACGAAGTGTCCTAAACTGTCAATGTTTTATACTGCCATAAACAGGTATATATATATTCATAGTGATGTAAAGTGGCATTAAGACTCGGATGGTTATAAAGTGCCCAATAACACACAACATACAGTGTCCAAAAATGCTGCGAAGTCTCTCAAAGTGTCGTAAAGGGCAACTGAAGTTGTAAATTGTCAATAAAATAAAATTAATATTTTAAAGTCATTTAAAGTGACATTAATATCATAAATTGTCGCAAAATTATCTTGAACTATCACAAAGTGTAAAGTGTCATTGCGTATAGCAAGTTGTCGTTAAGTGCCACGAGTTGTCATACAAGTGTCAAGACGGTGCTAAGAGGTAACCCTGTACGACGGCAGGACTTCCAGGACCACCAGCACAAGGTAATTACTATTGTTGTGTTCTCGACATATTTAATAAGTTCTTTTAGCCATCAATTTGGCATACACTAATACTTAAGATCTGATCCTTGGTTCAGCCTTAGTTGTTCCTGTAAGTTAAGTGTGAATAATCATATAGGTCTGTGTTAGTTAACTTAAAATCAGTTTGTTCGTAATACGATCAATAGCGCATAAAACATGTAGCCGTAACTTATTCCTTAATCATCTGCGTCCGTTTTCTCGCTGTTTTCTGTCATGTGTTTCAGAATCTCTCGTATTTCATGTTACATGTGTAGATTTGAAATTACGAATGAATGTGTCTGTGTTACTATAAGATATGTATACCTGCTTACAGCTGAGACATTCAAGATCCGTTGTGAGAGACGTTGAAAGCTTCAACTGTAGTTAATTTTAGTAAAATTGTCAAGTAAGGTCAGTGTAGAGTTTGCAGGGGAGAGGTACAAGAGTTCCATTCACAAATGAAGTCATATTACTTCGATTTACGATCACCAAAGACTCGATGACTGTATTGAAATTATTTTCAATTTTGTATTTTAGATGTCATTAATCATTTGAAAGAAACATGTCAACTCCTTATCGCCCTGAATTCTAACGGTGAGAAGTGACTAGCCCTCTGTTTGTGTTTTGCTAACACAATACAAAATGCAACAGCCATTCTGCGCAATTTTTCAAGTTTAATTATTGCATTGCAAGCTCGAACACTGATTACATTGTAAGCAACAGCCTTAAGAAATTAGTCTTACCCATCGC